TTATAGCGACGTTGTAACCACAACAACACATAAAACTCTACGAGGGCCGAGATCTGGGATGATTTTCTATAGGAAAGGTGTGATATACATGTATTATTATACAAATATTAGTTCTCTGTGTTGTGTACAGAGAAGTGTACTATAACAATATATTAAGATTATACTTTTCCAAATACAAAAAACAAACAAATTGGTCCTTATTCTTGCCTTGTTTGGTGTGTGTCTCGGTCACTTCTCCGCTTTAGCATCAACTGATTTTGATGATCCTATCGTGTCGTTGATGTGTCGCTCATAACTCAAAACAATCTCTACTATTCATCCAAGTTTGTAAGGTATTGCTCCAGAAAACATTTTTTATTTCCAAAATTGCTACCCTTTTGATTTTTCAGAATTCAGTATTGGTGCTCAGATCATTTCTACCTACGGTTTTGTGCATCTTTTTCTTAGCTCTGCTGGTGTGCAGGTGTCTTGAGTTTACCTCATGGCAATCAATCTGATTTTTGTGTGTGACAATATCTGCCATTTAAAATTTTTTGGAAAATGTTTTGGCTTCTTCTCAACATATATTTGTTTTGCGAAGACATCAGATATAAATTACCCAATTTGCATAATAATTCATAGTTTTTTTGGTTCTAATCACATTTCAATGTAATTTGGTACATGTATACTTTAACACAATGCGATGATCTAATTAGTTTTGGGTTCATATACATAATTCCATAATAATTACCTAATTTGCGTAATACTCAATGCAATTTGGTAACTAGCAATTTTTGATATGTAAACTGAATATGGAAGTTCATTCTAAGCTTTCTTTGATATTTTATAAATCGAGTCGTCTACTAGCAATACATCCTCAGCTTTGTCCATTTCTGGACAAGACTTTTGATTTTGGAAAAAATAAATTTATGTTTTTATGACTACCATATTCTCTCATGTATGATCAAAACTGTCATCTTTGTCTAGATGAAAATCTGTTAAATACGAACACATGTACTCATTTTGTTACTTTTTTTTTTTTTTTTTTAAATATTTTTTTTGTGTGCCAGGCGACAGTTCTGGACATTGAATGTCACCGTTGTCTCTCCTGACTTTTTTTTTTTGTATGTGCAAATTGCAAGTGCTAGTGCTGACACGTAGTGCATTTTGCCACAGAAGTCATATTCATGTTTGGGACTACATGACAGGGCTGTGTGGCCATCTCTCTGTCAAATGACAATTTTAATGCGCTATCCTGGCGTCAACCAGGCTCGGTCGAACACAAGCACCTGCGGACCTTAACAAAGGTTCCCCCAAAGTCCGCATTCGTTAGTGAATGAATCTCGGTCAGTAGAATTGGCCTTCCCATTGAGTCTGTGGCACACTCGCCCAGGGTAGGGGTTGACCCTTTGATGTTCAGCCTAAGGTAGGATTTGAACTTGGGTCTACCGATCATGAGTCTGGAGCGACAACCACTATGCTACCATTTTGTTACTCTTATTAACCTTATCTACTGGTATAACTTGGTGGATCAGTTTGTTTTCACTGTATATATCTCAAACAGCAGAGTTGTATTGGCTGACAGGATATATGTAAATTGAACTACAAAATAGTGTAAGTGACCTTAACATTCATGTTTATTACTCTGTAGGTGTTCGTAAGGTGTTGAAGGATGGCACTGAAGTGAAGTATGACTTAGAGGAGAAAATTAACGCTGCTGTGTTTCCTGGTTTACAGGGAGGTCCACATAATCATGCAATTGGAGGTAGAGTAGAGTACATATTTTTTTGTTGATCACTGTACTCGTATTGCTAACACATTAAGTCCTGTGATTTAAGTCATGGACATTCTTTGTATACTAGGAAGTGGTGCATTTTGACCTTCTCTCAGCGTATATGATATACTTGTTGGTTGCATCCATCATCTCCCCTTAGTTCAGCCATAATGAAGTCTAACTGTCAAATCTTGATCACCTTTGCCAGCCAAAGTCTGCTTATTCGGTTGCACCACTATTTCTTGGCAGATTATATTCAGGTATTAAAATGCACCTTTTGGCAATTTGACATGCTGCTTTTATGTCCATTGCCATATACAGCACCAACTCTGACTGAACATCAATCAATCATTCAACCTACTACCAATGTGAAATACAAGAATTCAAGCTAGAATCATGCTCAGGTTTATGGTGATGTATTTTTACATCAAGTTCACAAAACTACAAATATATGTAATTTGTGCGATTTACCTTAAAGGGGGGGGGGGAGTCCTTCACCTGCGCATGCGTCAAATTGCCATAGCGTTTCATTGTTACAAACGAGCGTCTACCCATGAGCCTTTGAGTTATTAGCATGTGTTATCGTTGCTTGGGACTCAATTCCCACGCGTGCGCAGGTGACGACCCTTCCGCTTTAATATGAATCTGCTACATTTCCATGTATGGTACAACAAGTGATATGCTTGTCTTTACTATTTTAGGTGTAGCGGTAGCTTTGAAGCAGGCACAGTCACCATCATTTCGTACATATCAGGAACAAGTCGTCAGCAATGCAAAAACCATGGCTGCAAGCCTCATAAAGAAAGGATATACCATTGTTACTGGTAAGCGTGTATGAGACTTTAGTCATATGACCATATCTTGTGGTGGTTTGAACCAATTTGAAAATTGTCATGTTCTCTTATTTTCCTTAGTATGAATTCAGTGCTCGGTAAACGAAAATGAAAAAAAAAAAATATTTTTGTTTTAAATTACTTTTGTGGAAGCATTACTTAATATTTCCCCCCCACTTGTTTAGGTGGAACAGATAATCATCTAATATTACTAGACTTGAGATCTGTTGGCCTGGATGGGAATCGAGCTGAGAAAGTATTGGAAGCCATCTCTGTAGCATGCAATAAGAACACTTGTCCCGGTGACAAGAGTGCTCTCAGGCCAGGTGGTGTACGTCTCGGTGCTCCAGCGCTGACCTCACGGAAGTTTAAAAACCAAGACTTTGAGAAAGTTTGCGAGTTTATTGACAGAGGTAAGCATCTTGAAAATAGGTCTAGATATCACTTGCCAACACCCAAAAAGGATCTCGTGCTCACGAGACAGTGGCATTACGTTTTAAATTTGTTATCTAATTATTTTTGTTTATTACGCACGTATAGGATTACAACTTGCTTTAGAAATCAAGGCAGTATCAGGACCTCTCCTCAAAGACTTCAAGAATTTGCTTTACAAGGATGCAAAATTTCAAGAAAAAGTTAGTGCCATTCGTGAAGAAGTTGAAGCATTTGCAGTAAACTTTCCTCTGCCTGGGGAAACTTTACCTGAAGACTAAACCAACATTCATTTACATAACTATTGCTGTCTTTTCGAATTCATTTGTGTGACTACATTTAACAAATGGAGTTCATTAGGTCAAGTATAAAGAAAAAAAAAAACACTTCTGATTGGCTATGCTTATCCTTCAATGTTCTGTGCTGACCAATCAAGTGTTATTTACTAAAAAAAATGCACATGTTTATTTTTTTTGTTTTGTTTGGAATTTGTATTTTGTTGATATTGGAGATTTAAATAAATAGGGAAGGGGATAGACAGTTGTTGTCAAAACCTTTAAATGTTCATACAAGTTTTAAAAATATAGTTGAGATAAACTGTTACGCATAATTTAGCTTGTCATGGGACTGACTGTGCACTCTTGACTTAAATAAAATTATGCACAAGTCTATCATACGAGCCCAATAACTAATGCACTGTCAATGTCAGGCTGGCTTTTCAAAATTGTACATGATGAATATTTTAGTGTGATAGTGTTCAAATTGTTAAGATCACTTGTTTTCATGGAATTAATCAACTTTGTGCTACTGGTATGTTACTTGTAGTATCGGCAATCTCATCTGCTAAATATTGGGT